TTCTTGAAGGCTAAAGAAGCTGCAAATCCATCCAAGAAGCAACAAAATCTCGAATCTTCAAGGGTAAGTTACACTTTGATCCTTTTGACCCTTTTCCTTTATTTATTTTTAAGCCTCATTTCTTTTTGGTTTCAAGCTTCGGCCCTAACATAAAAGGGCCATATTTTGAGCTCATCTTCACTTCTCATTAAGAGCTCAACCCTGTTTGAGCCCTCCATAATATACTTGCTTCATTGACCATCTTGTATGTCATAGATTTGCATGCTATTTTTGACCCATGGGCAATTTATTTTCGAGCATGTTGTAAACTTATATGAGGCATATTTTAAGCCCCTCTTCAACATTGGAGAAGGGCTCAACATTGTTTGGTGTTTCCATATGTCACTTGTAGTTATATCCCCTATTTGGCCCCATTTTTTGCATAAATTAGTAGCCCTCTTTTCTTCTGTTTTTGGACCTTGATCCGAACTGAAAGTGGTCTTATTTTGGTCTATACTTCATGTTTCATTCACACTTTTTTCCTGTTTGGTGATTATTTTATATACTTCATGTTACAGCACCTTTTGGGCCTTGTTTTACATCCCATTTTTTAGCATATTTGTATACTGATTTTGAAGCTGCCATATACTGTAAATGTTCATATTGTTGGTCCATCTTCAGTGTTGTAGAAGGAAATTTTTCAGTTTGGGTTTAGCTTATACCACTTGCTTTATTACCCCTATCTTGGCCCCTATTCTTGTATGCTATTTTTGCCATGCTTATACTTGCTGTTTGGCCATGTTTATAACTGTGAAAGTGCATATTTTGGGGCTTTCTAGCTTCTGGCTTTGCCCCTATTCTTGTATGCTATTTTTGCCATACCTATATTTGCTGTTTGGCCATGTTTATAACTGGAAAAGTGCTTATTTTGGGACTGTATAGCTTCTGTCTTTGCATTGCATGTCCATGTTGTGCATATTTAGCATGGCTATAGGCCATTTCGGGTGCCTAATGTTGCATTTCGGGACATTTCTTTGCATTTCATATCATTTCGCCTCATCCCGAGGCTGTTTTCCCTTTGTTTTGTTGTTGAAATTCCATTAGCATGCTTGCATATCATTTTTGCCATGTTGCATCACATTTCATCATTGCCTCGGTTTGCGTGCCCGCGTGCACGCATTTCGAGGCACCTCATTTTCTGCCATCGGCATCTTATGTGAGTGTGGCTGAGGCTCTCTCATGTTAGTATAAGTCCATTTGTCATTTTCCATGTCATTTGCATTGCGTATGCATTGCCTCGGTTTGCGTGCCCGTGTGCACGCACTTCGAGGCATCTCTTTTTTATCATTCTGTCATCGCCTCGGTTTGCGTGTCCGTGTGCACGCACTTCGAGGCATCTCATTTTTATCATTCTGTCATCGCCTCGGTTTGCGTGCCCGTGTGCACGTACTTCGAGGCATCTCATTTTCATTTTCATTATATCTGTCATCGCCTCGGTTTGCGTGCCCGTGTGCACGTACGTCGAGGCATCTCATTTTCATCATTCTGTCATCGCCTCGGTTTGCGTGCCCGTGTGCACGAACTTCGAGGCATCTCATTTTCATTTTCATTATATCTGTCATCGCCTCGGTTTGCGTACCCGTGTACACGTACTTCGAGGCGTCTCATTTTTATTGCATTCCGTCATTTTTCTCGATTTGCGTGCCCGAGTGCACGTATTTCGAGGCATATCATTCCATAGCATTGTGTATGCTAAGATTGTATATTAGTTGCATTTCATGCATATCATGCATATTGCATCGTGTCCGGAATATGAGTTAAAAAATTTACCAAACAAGTTTTTATTTGAATTTTTAAAATTTTTGTAAATATAAAAAAAAACCGAAAACGTAAGTGTTACCAAACGGCAAGTAAGTGAATGAGTTTGAATTAAATTTTTAAACTCGTTTAGTAAATGAGCCAAGTTCAAACTTTAATAAACTTGAATTTGAATAAGTTCAACTAATCAAATTCGACTCGTTTATCTTTATTTAAGTTATAAAGTAAATATATTATTTATATGTTAAAATAATATAAAAAAAAATTTATTAAATAATAATAATAATTCATTATCGAGTTTCGAGTGGAGCTCGAACTCGACAAGTCGAGCCAAACTCAAGAAGGATAATTAAGTTCGATAAATAAATGAGCCAAGCTCGAGCTCGAATTTAGTAAAATTTGGCCTGACTCAGTTCGTTTACAACTTTAGATACAATTGAGCGATTTTCATGTAGATATTGTTTAGAAAGTAAAGTCATTATAAAAAAGTCAATTATTGTCTCTATTTTTTTATTTTTCTTTTTTTTTTAAACATTTTTTTGGTAAAAAAATCAAAAAATCAATTTAAATAAGCAATTTCTAAACAATATCTTATTATTTTGTCTAAAAGTAACCAAATCAAAAGCCTTGAGCCTTAAAAAGATTAGGATAAGTTTCATTCAATTTGTTATAGTAGATTAGAACTTCGGATTTGTAGAATTCACTATACGTTTTATTTTGATAATTTAAGATGTTTATTAGACAAATAATTATAATCACATAACTTAAATTTGAAGATCCAACTTTAATGTAAAGAAAAATTATTGACCGTCATATGATATTTGTAAAAATAAATTGATAGAGAGAGAATAAATTGTATGTATTATTGATTGATTTCTGTTGTGTTTACAATGAGTCCTATATATAGAAGATTAGAGGAGGTAGGTATGTAGTAGGTGGAGTAGTAGGTGGAGTAGGTGAAGTAGGTGGAGTAGGTGTAGTGGTAGGTTTTGATACATTTTAACAGCCCCCCGCAAACTCAAGGGGGATAGGAACTAACCTACTTGAGTTTGGAGAGAGTAACAAAAACAAGAAAATAGACTAATACATAAAATAAAAAAGGATAGGAGACACTGTATGGTCGTGTCAGACCGTTGTAGAAGACTCTATGGTTATGGCAGACCGATGTAGAAGACACTGGCTCGTGTCGGACCGATGTAGAAGACAGTTTATAGGGTCATGTCGGACCGGTGTAGAAGACAGTTTACGGAGTCTTGCTGGACCCTTGTAGAAACTAACCGGAATCAATGTCGGGACAGTTTACAGAGTCTTGTCGAACCCATGCTTGTACTCCTTGTCATGTTCTCAGTACAGCAGGTGCCATTAGAGTCCTTATTAAATAACTTAGCTTGACAAGGTTCTTCTGGTTCTAATAATTGTAACTTCCATTGCTTACTGATATCTGACCTTTGTTTCCTTCTAAAAGTTTCACTTTGTGAATTTTTCATTGCAATAATGTTGGTGGAATTGATTAATAAAATGATTTTGCCTTGTGTGTGATTTTCTGCAGACCCTTATGCTGGGTTGAGCACATGTCACTGGATAATGAAACTGGATTGGACCCTTCTGGTGTAAGAATTAGGCCTGTATCTGGACTTGTGGCAGCTGATTACTTTGCACCTGGTTATTTTGTATGGGCAGTTCTAATCGCAAATTTGGCACGCATAGGATATGAGGAGAAAAACATGTATATGGCTGCATATGATTGGAGGATCTCATTTCAGAATACTGAGGTATTTTTGAGACATACCCTTTCTTTTTCCTAAGAGTCTTTTTTTTTTTTTTTCCCCCCTGTGGATGATATAGTTCATTTCAATATTTTTTTTTGGTTATAATAGTTACGTTTGGATCAGCTTGAACCTGAGAATTGCTGTTCTTACACCCCTCAATAACTTTTGGTTTGCCAGTTCCGTCGACCATTGGATTACATGCCCTTAGTTACTGTGCTTGCAATGCCTGCCAAGTTGGTCATGTATGGTATTGTATTGCTAATAAAATTGAACTCCAATGTCGAGTGCGGAATGGATGGGAGCAACTCTCAAACTCTAGTAAAATTGATACATGACTTGCATACAGATTGGAAGGGAATGTTAATGTAGAGGCAAGCCTGTCAAAAGATGGTTCATACAAAAACTTATTGAGGGGTGTAAAGTTGGTAATTCTTAATTTAAAGGTCAAATTAATCTTGCCTATTTAGTACAGTATTCTCTTACATAAGATGAATATTATTCCAACTTGAATTGAACAGGTACGCGATCAAACACTTAGCAGGATAAAAAGTAGTATAGAACTCATGGTAGCTACGAGTGAAGGGAAAAAAGTGGTCATAATACCACATTCAATGGGTGCTCTTTACTTTTTGCATTTTATGAAATGGGTTGAGGCACCGCCTCCAATGGGCGGTGGAGGTGGATCAGATTGGTGCTCTAAGCATATAAAGGCAGTAATGAATATCGGTGGACCATTTTTAGGGGTTCCAAAAGTAGTCTCTGGATTATTCTCTGCTGAAGCCAAGGATATAGCCGTTGCCGGTGGAATATAAAAAAAAAAAAAAAAAGATAATGAAAAAAGGGTGATGCTCACTAACGAGTTGTATAATAATGAAATATTGATGAAAAAAAAAAGATAGAAAAAATAAAATAAAATAAAAGTAGGGATAGGGAAAATATATTATAATAAAATATATATATATATATATTAAAATAAAAGAAAAGTGTGAAATAACGTGGGTGGAAGATATGGGTTTGATTAAAGAAATAGCTATGATCAACATGGCAAGCAATGGCCCACCAAAAAGAGGCAACCAAGTTGTGTTTCGTGTTCTTGTCAAAAGATGGAGTAAAAGAAATATAAAAAAAAAGAAAAGAAAAAGGAAAAGAAAGTTGAGTGGGGAACATGAGTGTGTGGAAAGAAGGAAAAAGAAAAAATATGGGGTGGAGACGACTACTGGTGTCAAGAGGCTTTATCAGATGCAGGCTGATGGAACTTTGTTATTCCCTGCTATCAATGTTAATGGCTCCGTCACCAAGAGCAAGTTTTATAACTTGTAGGGCTGTCGCCACTCACTCCCTGACGGTTTGATGAGAGCCACTGATGGTATGATTGCTGGAAGGGTTGCTGTTGTCTGTGGTTATGGTGACGTTGGCAAGGGCTGTGCCGCTGCAATGAAGAAAGCTGGAGCACGTGTGATCGTTACTGAGATCGATCCAATTTGTACCCTTCAGGCTCTTATGGAGGGCCTCCAAGTTCTAACCCTCGAAGATGTGGTCTCAGAAGCTGATATCTTTGTCACCGCCACCAGGTGTGAAGAGGATCACGATTAAGCCTCAAACAGACAGGTGGGTTTTCCCCGACACCAAGTCAGGCATATTGTCTTGGCTGAGGGGCGGCTTATGAACTTGGGTTGTGCTACAGGGCATCCCAGCTTTGTGATGTCTTGCTCTTTCACTAACCAAGTGATTGCCCAGCTTGAGCTGTGGAAGGAGAAGAATACTGGCAAGTATGAGAAGAAGGTGTTGATTATTCCCTCAGAGAGACAAGAGTTCAGTTCAGTTATGGAATTTGTGGCGGCGGAGTGAAGGTATGTGTAGAGGTCCGGCGGGCGGCCAAGCCCCCCCCCCCCGCCGGTGAAGCGGAATTACTAAGTTGTTAACCTTGCTTTGATACCATGTAAAAATAAATTGATAGAGAGAGAATAAATTGTATGTATTATTGATTGATTTCTGTTGTGTTTACAATGAGTCCTATATATAAAAGATTAGAGGAGGTAGGTATGTAGTAGGTGGAGTAGTAGGTGGAGTAGTAGGTGGAGTAGGTGAAGTGGGTGGAGTAGGTGTAGTGGTAGGTTTTGGTACATTTTAACAATATTAGTTATGTAATACTTTAGACAAATGATAAATCACAATACACATTTACGCTGTGTTTGATTTATGAATTTGATTAGAGATTTAGAAGGGAAAAGAAAAAAAAAATATAGGTAAAATATAAATAGAATATAACTACATTTTATTCACCTTTTCTTTTTCTTTTTTTAAATTTATTCTCAAATTTATCAACTAAACACAATCTTCATAAATTATCATTAATAAGTAACATGTACAATGGGCAAAACAATACGTGCTAAAATTTCCACTACATTCTATACTATAAATACTCAATAATCACACCCAGGACTTAACACTTAAATTCTCTTTAAATTTGGAATCCCAACTTTCCTTCTATTTGCATAAATATTTGGCCAAGCCCAAATAACATAATCCCAACCCCAACCTCACATTAGTAGCCATACAGACACCATGAAGGTGAAGAATGGTCTAAACAGATATCCATTTCTTTCAATGATCATGTTTCTGGCTCTCATGCACATTGGCCATCTAACAGTACCCATTTGGGCCAACCGATCGCCTTACACGCCAACCGATTACTTCCTATTCGAATGCCTTGCCTCCACAGCTGCAACTTTGTTATCTAATGGCCAGAAATGGAGTCCCAATAATAATTCTAATTTTGAGTACTATCCATATTATGAGGTGTCCAAAGCATCCCAAATTTCAGGTGATCCCAAATCCCCTCAGTCGTTATATGCTTGCATTGTTCGAAAGCAATCTAGTTTCACATTTGCAGTATCTAGTATTGGTATGCATTTCATACGACTTCACTTCTATCCAACTAGTTATGAAGGTTTGAACATGTCTAAAGCTTTGTTCTCTGTCAGTGTAGCCAATTACACTCTTCTACGTACTTCAGAGTCCCCTTATTCTAGCAATCCATCTGATGCTATATATATCATTAAAGAATTTTGCATTAACGTGGATGATTTGGTTATTAACATAACTTTCACTCCATCAAGAAACTCCTCCGGTGCCTACGGTTTTGTGAACAAGATTGAGATAGTTTCAATGCCCCAAGACATCTATTATGTCCGCAGAGGTGATGACCAACTGCCCTTCATCGGGCATCATTCCAAATTCTTCACTGGGAATTCCATACCCCTGCAAATGATGTATAGGTTAAATGTTGGCGGGCATTCAATTTGGTGATTAACGTAGCTTTCACTCCATCAAGAAATTCCTCCGGTGCCTATGGCTTTGTGAACAAGATTGAGATAGTTTCAATGCCCCAAGACATCTATTATGTCCGCAGAGGTGATGACCAACTGCCCTTCATCGGGCATCATTCCAAGTTCTTCACTGGGAATTCCATAGCCCTGGAAATGATGTATAGGTTAAATGTTGGCGGGCACTCAATCTATGCTGAAGATGATACGGGCATGTTACGAGCTTGGTCAGAGGACTTCTCGTTCCTTATCAATCAAATCACTGATACCATTCATCCAAAAGTTAATATCAAGTATAGTTTGTCAGTGCCTGCATACATTGCGCCACAGCAAATCTATGCTACAGCTAGAACCATGGAGGACAACGGGCATTGTAATATGACATGGCTATTCCCTCTTGAAGGCAGTTTTTATTACCTTGTTAGGCTTCATTTCTGCGAGGTCATGAAGGATATTTGGCAAGACAATCAAAGGGTTTTTCAAGTTTATTTAAATGATCAAATTGTTGAGAATTATGCAGACGTGATACACTGGAGTGGTGGAGTCGGCGTTCCAGTGTACAGAGATTACATTGTTAATGTCACAAGAAATAGCCAAGAGATGTTTCTGTCTTTGGCATTAAAGAGCACAGAAAGTCTGAATGGGGCAATCTTAAATAGCTTGGAAATCTTCAAGCTATCAGACCACGCCTACAATCTTGCAGGGCCATTTCCATTTGGACAGAGAACACACCCATTTGGAATGTCAAATAGATTATTACAGAATCATCCAAAGATAGTATTCATTCCATTTTATACTTTGGTTGCGTTAACATTTCTATGTTACATTTTTTTGCTATTTTTGATCAGGTGGTTCCCATTTCACTCTAATTTGCAAAGGAGAACTTTCAAATTGGCGTCATCAGATCATTGTCGTTACTTCACACTTGTTGAGATTAAATCAGCTACAAATAACTCCTCTGACGCTAATGTAATTGGTGCTGGTGGATTTGGAAAAGTCTATAAGGGGTACATCGATGGTTCTATTGCGATAAAGCGTGGGAGTCCAACCTCACATCAAGGTCTACACGAGTTCCACACTGAAATCACCATACTAACTAAACTCAAGCACAACAACCTTGTCTCTCTAATTGGGTATTGCGTCGATGAAAAAGAGATGATATTAGTGTATGAATTCACGGCTTAAGGTACCTTACGCGATAACCTATATAACACCCAGAATCCCCCACTTCAATGGAAGGAGAGACTCAAGATTTGCATTGGTGCTGCACGGGGGTTACACTACCTTCATGCTGATGCAAAGCAGACCATCATTCACCGTGACGTGAAGATGACAAATATTCTCTTAGATGAGAGTTGGGTAGCTAAGGTTTCAGGTTTGGGGTTGTCCAAATTTGGGCCTAAAATCATGTCTTGCACTCATGTTAGCACTGCAGTGAAGGGTAGTTTCGGATACATGGATCCAGAATACTGCCGTTGTCAAAAGTTGACAGAAAAGTCAGATGTGTACTCTTTCGGTGTGGTATTGATGGAAGTATTGTGTGCCAGACCAGCAGTCTTACCAATGGTGATGGAAGAAGAGGAAGACAGGCAAGAACAAGCCAACTTGGCTGAGTGGGCTTTACATTGTCATCAATTAGGGACCCTTCATCATATTATAGACCCGTTTTTGAAGGAAAAGATTGACCCAGAATGTTTCAAGACATTTGTGGAATTAGCAAAGAAGTGTTTGGCAGGTAGAGGATGTGAACGACCCACGATGGGCGATGTGTTGTGGTACTTGGAATTAGCACAGCAACAACAGGAAGCTAATACAGTAGAGGAAAAAACGTGTATTGAGATGAGTACTAGAACTGCAAGTGAGGAGTTTGTGACCATTGATATTCAATTTTCGGAGCTCATGGACCCAGTTGGTCGTTGATAGAATTCAACAGACAATTCTTTCAACCTTGTAAGCCCATCCAGTACAATAATTCTATAAACATAGGACCAACCATTGAACAGACCACAAAAAAATAATGTTGGCCATACATATCAGATAACCATTGTACTCAAGTTACTCTATTTGTATATTATGTTATCATTTATGTGGTTTGTTTTATGTTTATAATTTATTTATTTTTCCAATTATTTCCCCTTTTAATAGTTCTTTTCCATAAGATAAGTTGTAAAAACTAACAATTGACATGTATGTTAATTTTTAGCTAATATTTAAGATAAGTGGTAAAACTACATAATTTCATAAATTTAGTTTCGGGTATTATATAGGTGATATAGGTTTACATAGGCGGTCACTTAAAGTACTCCATAGTAATTATGGACATTTTTTTATCAGTAAATAAATAATATTTTATTAAGGAAAAATTAGTCTAGGGTCCCTCCCCCACTTTTCCTAATGGAAGAGATCCACAAAATTATTTTTTGATGTCTAAGGTCCCTAAACATATATCAGAGAAATTTGACTCTTTGCCCACGATTCCTCTCTCTCTCTCTCTCTCTCTCTCTCTACAACCAAATGAACAAAAGCTTCAAGATCTTCGTCTACCCTACCCCAAAATCCCACCCCTTCGCCAACGTCCTCCTCCCAGTCTCCAACGATCCAGGCGACAACTACGCCAGCGAATCCTTTTTCAAAAAGTCCCTCGGCAAGTCCGACTTCCTCACCACCAATCCCTCCGACGCCAACTTCTTCTTCCTCCCCTTCTCCATCGCCGCCATGCGTCACGATCGGCGAATCAGAGTGGGAGGGATTCAGAACTTTGTTAGGGATTCTGTAACTAGAAACAATGTCTATTGAAGCTCTGGCAATGGCAGGTATAGATTACCTGGAATGTGATATAGATATCGAGGCTTGGGAGCGATGCGGACAATAATAGCCACTTTCATATCTTCTAGCAGAAAAGCATTCAAGCAGTCATCAGAATGTAAAAAAAGGCACTACTGATGATAAGTTGATCATCATCAATGGTGAGTTGCTGATGAGAGCAAAAATTCAGGAATGGGCTAAAGCAGTGGCTTCTAAGAAAAATGCCTCTGGTTTTGAAAAAAGAAATACATTTAGAGAGACTTCAAGTTGAAGGTTGGAGTGGTGAGCGGTGTGAATATATCCCCAGAGAAATTCTCTGGATTTGAACTAAAATTTCTCTGGGTTGATTTTGAAATTTCTCTAGAGAGGTAATGTTGTGGAAATACAGAGAAATTTCTCTGGAGAGTGGGAAGCATATGAAAGGCAGAGAAATTTAAAATTTCTCTGGAGAGTTCATGAAAGGCTAAGGAGGCCAGAAAAATTTGAAATTTCTTTGGAGAGTCCATGAAAGGCTAAGGAGGTCAGAGAAATTTAAAATTTCTCTGGACTAATTTCTCTAGACCAATTTTCTCTGGATCAACTTGAGAGACCTTAGACATTATGAAAATATTAGATGCCCTTTATGTTATAAAATCTTAATATGGGAGACCTTAAAAAAAATCATTTTTATTAATACTAATTAAACGTTACATACAGGAATAGTTGGCCAGAAGCCAACTGTCAAGAGACAATGAAAAAGCACAAGACACTAACATCAACAACCATTACTACAAAATCATAAACAAATCACACTTTTTTTTGCGTAATGTATGTTATTTAATCACACCTTTTAAATCTTATTAAAGTGTGATCTTTAAGAGTGTGATTAAAAAGAGTCATGTTTAATCACAACTTTTAAGTATGATTAAAAAATGATTCCATGATAATAAATATTTAAATCACATCTTTTAAGTGTGATTAATAACATTTAGATCATAGATTTTAAATGTGATTAATATCTAATAAAATCAGTGATTAATAATGAGATAAGATCACACATTATATGCATTTCTCATCACAATTACTGCGTGTGATAAAAAAAAAGGTTCGACATATTTGAAAAATAATCAAATTTGAGCCACTTTTGAGCCACAAAATTTGAGCTACGTAGCATTGTCGAACTTTCATTTATGAAATATATAATGTTATTTCATTCAATATGTGGTTGTGATTTAAATGATAGTATACAGTGTGCATTACATTCTTTAAATGCGCGTATAAAAATAATATTGATTATTTTTCAAATATGTCGAACCTTTTTTTTTATCACACGCAGTAATTGTGTTGAGAAATGCATATAATGTGTGATCTTATCTCATTATTAATCACTGATTTTATTAGATATTAATCACATTTAAAATCTATGATCTAAATGTTATTAATCACACTTGAAAGATGTGATTTAAATATTTATTATCATGGAATCATTTTTTAATGATACTTAAAAAGTGTGATTAAACATGACTCTTTTTAATCACACTCTTAAAGATCACACTTTAATAAGACTTAAAAGGTGTGATTAAATAACATACATCACGCAAAAAAAAGTGTGATTTATTTATGATTTTGTAGTAATGGTTGTTGATGTTAGTGTCTTGTGCATTTTCATTGAGTACAAAACAACATAAAAATGGCCAAAACGACGTCGTTTTGGCCATTTGAGCCACTTTTGAGCCACAAAATTTGAGCTACGAGACATTTTCCATGAAAGTTGAATGTTCAAAGTAATACAAAAGAATTAATAAAAAGTTTTTAACTGTGATTACATATATTAAAAAATGAGAAAACTTGAAACACAAAGTTCTTTAATTCTTTGATCATATGTTGTATCTCTCCAACCAATTTCTGACCTGAAAAATGAAAATAAAAATTAATTTAGAAACTGCTAGAAGCATATGAATAAACTTTCTATTTGTGAGGCTCAGCTCGGCTTGGCTCAAATACATTTGTTTTTAATAGTTTGACTACAAGATGTACTTTTTTTAAAAGGAAGCATCGCCCAAGATGAAAAAATGGAAAAAAATTCCCAAATCATGAAAATTAACCCAAACCCAAGCCAATTTAACCTAAGCTCCCAAAAACCAATCATTGAAAATCATTACCCCTGCCTCCCAACTGCAAAAGAATTCAGCAAATAAAGCATATTTTACTACTTTAGCAACTACCTTTATAGACCATGGAAAAACCAGAAAGTACCTTGTCTAGCTTCAAGAAATTTAAAAATTGGTCACTAAACCAATGCCTGAAGCAGACAATTTAGGAGGTACATAACAAATTGAATGTGTAAGATAATCAAACATGAAATAAACCGATATTCCCATTTTTTGCTATTATTTGACTACATAAGATTAACCAAGCACCGAAAAGTGTTCTTCGCTCACTATCATTTTCCATTGTACTACATGTAAAAAATGTTTTCCACCCGAAAAGTGTTCTTCACATAAGCTCTGGCTAAGCTTCATGTTCCCATTTTATTATTCTCCAAACGCAGGAAGTACAACTATATATATAACTATACCAAACATATAGAGAGATAGAGAAAAGGACAAAAACATACTGAAAGTAGTTCTCTCGCAAAACCCAAATGGTCTTTGTCACTTGCCATTGCAACGACAAGAACCAATTTTGCCTTTGGAATTGTCATCTGAATTGTATCAGCTAAAGCTTTGGCAAATTCCTTGGTATGTGCCGGAAAACATAAATCATATAAGCTATAAAAGATTGAGGCTATGTTTGGATCTTTGATATTAGCCTCTAACAAACCCTTAGAAATTTCGTTTATAAAAGATTGAGATTGTGTTTTTGGATCTTTGATTTGAGAAGGGATTTGTGAAGGGAAAAGAAAATGCAAGGAAAAGAAAAGAATTATCTTATATTTCTTTTTCTTTTTCTTTTTTTTTTCTATAAATTCCTCCGTAAATCCAAGATCCAAACATAACCCGAAAGACAAAAAAGTTATATGGGCCACATCCCCTTGATACTCATTCATACAATTATTTTACTTGACAAAGAAGAGAGTCAAAAAAGAGAGCAACTTGGATACAGCAAAATTTTGTGGTAGTATATATAGTAGTTTTGTTCTAATGTTCTAGGGAAAATGGAAAATAGACACATAAGGTCCGCACCTTGATCACGAAGGCATAGAGACGCACAAGTGGCAGTTGCAGCATTTTGGAGTTGGTGAGATCCAAGCATTGAGAGTTTTGCATCAAACAACTCAATGACCTGCATAATTTGATATAAAGTTCATAGTTCGTATGACAACCAAATACATCAATGAACATTAGACATATAAGAAAGCAAAGCATTAAACTACTTGGAAAAGAAACCGTACGGCGGGTGGCAGATAGACAAAATTGACATTAGAAATTGCCGTTTTGTTTATCAAAAACCAACAGTTCGATTGACAAATAATAGCGGGTTTAAGGGAGTCTCACAGTTAAAGAGAGCAATAGTTGCATATCTATTTTATAAATCAAATAAGGAACAAAACAATAGAAATAAAGGAGGAAGAGGAAGATAGGATATAAGAAGATGATGGTGAAGAAGAAACTTTATTTCTTACCTTTATCATCAACCAAGATAAGGTTTTTTAGGCCTCCTGTTCATAAATGTCCAAAGGGAAAAAGATATGATCAGCCATTGAGTTGCAAATTTTGAAAATAAACAAGGTAACATAGAATTCACATATCTTCAACGAGAAAAATGTGATGAAACCAGAAAAGTCATTTGCAATGTCACCAAACCATTCCAAACATGAAATCTAGAACAAGCAAATTATTTTTCAATATGATGCAACAAAACCTCACCTTGCAGTCAGGTCTATATTATTTAAAAATAAAAAATGAAAAATCTTAAGTTTTGGACTAATAAGAATACCTTGTTTCATTAGTGCATACAGTGCATATTTCTAAGGCAAGGGATCTGCTTAAGGAGTGCCTTGCCTCTAAGTGTTACGCTCGAATGCAATTTTGAACTCTGATCCAGAAACAAGCTAGAGCAAACCAATGGAAGAAAATAAAGATGCGTGCGATAAACAAGTTATAAACCTAATAAGATGGCATAATAAACAAAATAATTGACAGTTTCTCACACGTGATTCAGGGATGAAAATTACATCTCCAGCATAAATAAGCCTTGGGTTGTCGAACTTATTCAACTCTATAGTCTTGTTTACCACGGTATTAAAACGAGAACAAATTGTAAAACGTGTATCCCCACTTTTAACTCTGTAGCTTACTACCTCCACACCCTTAGAATAGCCACATACAAGATCTAAAGGTATAGTTTGTGATTCAATCAAAGTTTTATCATTCTTCTCCACCACAAATGATACAAACTTTTCCGAAATGCTCTCCCATGTATCCTTATGTTGGACCGTATGGCCTGTGTGCCAAGCGAACTCACTGTGACCTGCAGGGTAACTGCAATCTATTACAATGGAAAAACCATTGACAGTTCTATTCACTGAACTAGAATTAACATGAAATAAGGGAGTTGTCTCTTCAAGGGGTTTCGGAATTTTAGGAACATAGTATAGGAAAGGACATGATTCCGTCAAAGATACATTGCATGACATAGCATTCACATAGAAACAATGGCCAGAACGTGCAAGAAAGGTCAAAATCACTAAACCAACCAAAAAAATTTCATTTTGAGTTAAAACAAACCGCATTTTTATAAAATAAAACTGAAAATGTATATTACTAATCTTTAAATATATATACTAATGTTCTTTTCTTCGTTCTTTTTTGAATCTTTGAAGAACCTACTAATCAGCTAGACAATATCTCGAACAAGTAATCTTCAAATTTCTCTCCTTAATTTCCTCAGAAAACAAGATATATAGATATATATAATTACAAACTTCAATTAAACAATGGAAGTAAACAAGAATTACAAGTCCAAAAACAATTCAATGGAATCTACAAATGGGTTTTCCTGTATCAGATAGTTACATAATTATATCTGAAAAACTAAGATCAACACAATAAGAAAATGATGTTGAGAGAACTTGATGGGTTTGTGAAAAAGCAATTAAATGGAAAAAGGGGAGAATATTTTGAGGGTTTTGTGAAAATAGAGAAACCCAGAGAACTGGACTGATAAGGAGATGAAAGAGAAGGGAATCATTGTAATTGATTGTGAGAATTGAGAAAAAGACATGAGAGATAGTCCAAGAAATTACCAGATTTAGAGGAGTGTGGTTGTTGAGTAGAAGAAGTCTTGGGTGCTCCGCTTGGCTTTCCATAGCAAAACTGGTTTGTTGTTGCCTTCTAGAATACAGAGAGAGAGTAGAAATTCCATGTTGCTTTTAATATATTCTGCAACTTCTCATTCATTTTGCTCTCTAGACTATCATCATCCATGTCATAACATGTAGAAATTCATTAGTTGGAAAGGTACTTCAACTAGTGAAGTGTTCGATTGAAGAAAGAAAAATGCTTGGGAGCACTAATTAGTGCTCCCACTAATTAGGTGGCAGTGGGTCCCGCCATTAATGATGTGATGTTTTGGTCTTGGAGTTGTATTTCTATTTTATTTTTTTTTACTTTTTTAATGCATTAGTGCTATTAGTGGTGATGTTTTTAGTGGGATGAACATACTGTGAAATAATCTAACACCCTCAACTACTGAAGTTATTTAAAAAAAAAAAAAAAAAAAGCAACAAAGTACTCAAATAGAGAAACATATACATACCCATTTTCCTGTTTCACTTGCATAGAATACCTCTGCTGCTCCACTCTTTGAAAATGCGACCCCAAATGAATCAAATCAACTGTGTGCCTGTGTTCATAAGAAAGACAACTTTTAGACTGCACAGAATCAGATCTTTGAAAAATCCCACCTGCTTTGACTTCAAAATCAATATCAATACCTCAGTCGCTCTTTTAAAATTATAATCACGCTTATTTAAAAAATAAGTGAGATAATTTCACACTTATTTTATAATCACACTTATTTTATATAAAATCAAAATTAAAAAAAATATATACAATTACACTTATTTAGAAAATATGATTAAAAAAAAATATAATCATACTTGTTTAAAAAGTGAGATTAAAAATTAATATTATCACACTCACTTAAATTAAGTATGATTAAAATACCACTTTAATCTTTTTTTATCATACTTTCAATAAAAATGAGATAATTTTATTTGTCAAAGTGTAATTTTTAACTATTTTTTTTTATTTTGTAGCAGTGGACAAAATGGCCAAAACCCAAACAACAACCCAAAAAAAGGCTTCTAGGTGCCATCCATCAGACAAAGCAACCAAGAAAGAAAAGCAGAACAGAGGTGCCTCCTGCCAACCACTCTCAAAACAGGTCTACATTGTCATCAATTATTAGGGACCCTTGTGGGTATTTTTAGTGTGACTTGACTTTGGTTGCAAGTGTATGGGGTTGACAAGTCCACTTAAGACTCCAAGATAATTTCCTGTATTTTCTTTTTTCTTTTTTTTAAGTATACTACCAGGCAGCTGTTGAATAAGTGAACAAGGGAGATTTTTACAGTCCTTGAGTTTATACTTCTATATTATATACTAAGTAAAAAAGAGTTTTTAATCTCAAGTGTTGTGGGAGTTTCAATCTTTCAATATAAATTTTTTAATTTTTTGATTTAAAAAAAAAATCTTAGCAGTTATTAACTTCTCCCAACTTCTAAGTCATACCCTCATAATAACACTTTAATACATTAAGAACAAGTATAAAAAAACAAAAATGCTAGAGGCCCCAAAAATTCTACCAAAAATTTTACCAAATGTCTCACATTGGTGTGGGACCCACATGGGACCCACATTGTGTGGGTCCCACACCAATGTGAGAAATTTGGTAAAACTTTTGGTAAAATATTTGGGATCTCTAGCATTACTCATAAAACTTTAATGCATTAAAAACAAGTATAAAAAAAAATTCTTGAAAAGTCCAACACATATGATTATTATCAAAATATTAAACTTTAATATAATATAACAAAAAAGCAGAATCAGATCTTTGAAAAATCCCACCTGCTTCGACTTCAAAATCAATATCAATACCTCAGTTGCTCTTATTTTTTTGGGGAATACCTCAGTCGCTCACCGCCGCTGCTGCTCGCCTTTCACTGCTGCATTATTCAAAATATATATATATTTAAAAATTACAATTCACATATATAAATAATTATAAACACAATCCGTGATTGATGTAATACAAAATGATTGAACTAAAAATTTTCCACGTAGTGCTCCGTAAGCGAGAATTACCCTCCAAAGCTACTTCTAAAATTTATCGAATACAAAAAATATATAAAAATATTTTTAAGATTTTTTCACATAGATAAAATTCTTTTAAAAATTTATTGAATACAAAAAAAAAATTAATATATTTTCGTATTTTGTTGTATTTAATGAATTTTTTAAAATTTATACACAAAATTTTAAAAAATTCATTGAATACAAAAAATATATAAAAATATTTTAAAGATTTCTCCACATAGATAATTTTATTATATTTTCGTATTTTGATATTCACTTATGTAATAATAAAATTATCTAAATTATTAATTGAAATAAAATTTTAACATTATTGAAAACTATTAATTAACTTGATGATTTATTAATAAATGGACCTATTTGTTATGAAATTATAAATTTTAGGGAACATAATGTAATTTATAGAACCAGAGGGTAATTTGTAATTTAAGTAAACCTCAGGAGGTGTGTTTGTAATTTACCAAAAAAATACAAAATTTTAGTATATTTTCGTATTTTGCTTTATTTAATGAATTTTTTAAAATTTTATGTATAAATTTTATTCTTTTTAAGTGTATCTAGATTAAATGGACCTAAAAGGTTATTAAAAAAAATTGATTAAAAGGTTAAAAAAATTCACTAAAAATATATTTTAAAAAATGGATTAAAATCTCAAAAAAATATTTTTAAAAACTCTCCACCAAACAGAGTGATTATATATTATTATTTGGTTAATACTTTCGTGTCCTGTCTCTTGTTTTGTTTTATAAAAGAAGATTGAAAATTTGAAGCAAAAAGACATTTGGTTATATATTGTTTTTTTAAAGTGTTGTTTGGTTTTGATTGATTTTTTAAATATTGAAACTTTTTTTTTTGATTTTTTTTTGTTTGTTTTTAGTGGATTTTTTTTAATATTTTCAATAAATATTTTATTGTATAGATGCACGTAACATAGATACACCTAAAAAGTATAATATTTATGAAAAATTATTTTAAAAATTTAATAAATACACAAGAATAAAAAATATATACTGAATTTTAAAAAAAAAAATTGTATTTGATGATTTTTTTAAAAAAAAATTCTTAAATATTATACATTTTAAGTGTATCTAGGTTAGGTGCATTTAAAATATATATATATATATATATATTAAAATATTAAATTTTTGGACAAAAAACAGAAAAATCCAAAAAATAAAAATTTTCAATTTTTTGAAAAGTTGACTCAACTTTCTAAAACCAAACAAGATTTCCTAAAATTTTCACTTATTTTCAAATTAAAAATAGGCCTTTTATTTTCTTTTCAAAATAAGTTTTCGTTCCTTCATTCATCACCACTTCTGACCACTACCACATGGAGCCATCTCTCCCATCAACTACCCACCACCTTCAACCAAACTCAGCCACTCTCCATGATCCTCCTATTACTCCCTGATGATCGCTGCCACCTTCTATTGACAGCCACCACCACCCGTAATTCACAAGCATGTATTTTTTCTTTTCATATACTTTCAAAATATTTATGCGCACTAAATTAAACTTTTTATTTATATTCTTTTGTAAAATAAAATAAAAACATTTTTTTGGACAATGTTACTAAACAAAATACTCAACTTTCCTGACTATGTTCAAATAAGACTAAATATTTGTTAAATACTTGAATCGATCACGTTGAATTGCAACAGAATATATATCTTTAAATTATTATTATTAAAAATTTGAATATGTTAGGTTTTGGTAATTGAGAATCTCGTTTGACAAAACTTCTTTTAGTTGTTATTTTATTCACTCTTTTTGTTTCAGTGAGTATGTGAGGGTTTAGATGCGAATTTAACCCGAATTGTGTCTGTACAGAGGAGTTTGTACTGGCATTCTGTATCTTGAACATTACTTGTTTGCCACTTCACTAATTATGTATGGGAATCGAAGCCAAAGTTATTTGACGGCTCGAGTTGTCATTTGTGTGCCCATTCGATAAAGTGAATCATCTAGTATCTCTACTTGCAAACTGAATTTCCGATAAATATGTTTCATCGCTCGAGCGGTGGATGTTGCACTTAAGTGGTTGGCCTATATTTTTTGCATTGCCTACACTCACACTGCTCGAGCAATGAAGCGTGCGCTCAAGTAGTATTAACGGCTCTGTTTAGTATAAAGTGCGTCGTTTGCTGTTTTTAGGATTGGAGTCGTTCAAATGATCAAAGAGGAGTAAAATACAAAGTGTTTTACATTGGAGGGTGGTTTATATGAGTTTTCTTGATGTATAGAGGGTGATCAATTGATCAACGAACTACATATTGGGGGTATTTGGTGGGGCTTTTTTGAGCAAACTTATGGCTTCTGGCTTTTAAAAAGTTATTTTGGACTGTTTGGTTAAACTTATTGCAAACAGCTTCTGATTCTAACAACTTATTTTAAGTCAAAAAAGCTGATTCTGAGAAGCTGCTCGCCCCTTACTTCTAATTATCAGTTTTCGTTGTGGATATGTTAATTAACGGTTATACTCTTAAATTTTTTTATTTTTTATTTTTTTAAAAATAGAAAAGGCCCAAATGGACTATAAAATATTATTATTATTATTTATGAGAAATATAGACAAATAGTGAATAATAAAAAATAAAAATTAATTGAAAAAACTACTTTACAGCTTATTTAACAAACACTACTCAGCAACTTAAATCTATAATCCAACAGCTATACCAAACAGATTAACAGCTTCTGATTAAAGTCATAATCTATAATCTGTTAAGCTATAATCTATAATCTGTTAAGCTATAATCTATAATCTGTTTTAAGAGTTACACCAAACAGCACCATTGATTAACATCAAGGGATGATTTTGATTGTTTATTCACAAAAAGAGAGAGGTGTTCATTGGTGAATTTCGGAGAATTTAGGCCTGAAACTTTGGTGGATTGCAAATTGGCTCATTGTTGTGCATTTGACATCAGCATTGTGAATTCAACGTTGGGCAAAACAATTCCGATGTGAAGACGGCGGTAAAAGAGGCACATTGGATTTGGTTCAATTCAGGTATGAATTCGCTAGGTAATTGAGAATATACATATATAATTCATTTTTGTCTTCTTAGTGGATTGTTTTATGGCTTTGACCCATGATTTTTTTTATCATAATTGGAAGTGCTCCAATTATGATTTTCTCCACGTTAAATTATTGTACCGATTTGTTGTTGATTGTTTGATTGAAATTAATATTCACTATTTTAAATTAAAATATAATCCTAAATCAATATCTCAAGGGTATTTAAAATTTTCAAAACATGGTTCAAATTGCTTAATTTTGAGGAAATTAGTCAACCAAATAAAATAGGTAGTTCATTAACAATCAAATAAAATCAAAAAAAAATTAAAATTTTAATACTCATTTTATATATTTTTATTTATTTATTTTTACATATTTTAATACACTTTTGCGCATACCAATATTCACCCCAACACATTGCACAATTATTAGTATTTTTCAATAAAATAAATGGACAAAACCACATTCAAGACCACTTTGAGAAAACACCATTTTAATTGTAGTATCACTTTTGAAAGTATAAGCAAACAGAATTTTAAGTCAGGAACAAAGGCGCTGTTTGGAAATAGTGGGTTGAGGCTATTATAGCC